TCCGTCAGATGACTCTGAGTTCTGAGATGTTAAGCTTCTATTCCCAGTCACACACGGCAGAACTGTGGGCAGTTGTCTCCTCCGTCATCACTCCTTACAGGAACACGACTCAGCACTGTCGCCTTCAAAGCCAGCTCTCACAGGCCCATCTGTGCCATTGTGCTGGCTCACACAAACTATTTCCTGGCCTTATTCACTCAATGCACCAAGTCAGTGAGATAAAATTTAAATAATGCTCAAAATTAGAATAATTAAAACGTGAGTCATTCCCTCTGCGAAAACATATTTGAAAAAATTCATGATTACTGGACACTTGTGATTCAGAACGAGGCACTGTGGGAACGAACAGGCCGGAAGATTACGGGACTGTGCGTGAGTAAGGTGTTATTGTCGACCGCTGACCTCTGGGATTCGAGTTTAGGAATTAACAGCAGAGAGAGGGCTGAAAAGGGACTTCTCGCTCCTGTATCTTCTGTGAATCTTTCCGTTTTACCACAGACAAACGGTATAAACGTGTCCAGAAATCAAAGCCCTTGATCACCTGACTGTTCCAAAGAGGAGACAATCATTCCAGATTAAACATCACAATTTATCCATTTCCCAATTGAAAAAAGAACAAAAACAAGGTGATGGACATGGGGGCACCATGGGAATTCTCTGCTGCATTTAGGAATTGGCTCTTCAGCCTGGAGCGCCCCATGAGAAAGCGTGGACACTAGCACACACATTCAATATGGCACAAACTGATCCCAAGAGCACAGGGAGACCATTGTCCCTCCTGGAACATCAGTCCCAGGTTATGACACACTGAGTTTAAACAACTCAAAGTCTCTTGCAGACTAAAGATTTAAAAGTCTAACTCCCAATGCCAAGAAATATATCCAATATTAGCACCAAAATGAAGTTAAAGGAAAAAATCCATCTCTTGATTTCATATATGCATTTTGAAAGTGCTCATAATGCTAATAATGTTTAAGAAAACTAACCTTACAATTAACTTCCTTCTCAACTAAAAAATAGAGCAATAATTAGTCGCTTAAGACTAAGGTTATTAATTTGAAACTATTTTAAATAAACAAAAGATAAACTGAATAGTTTCATAATGTTATTTTGAACCACAAGATTTTTCAATAGAAAAGAATATATAATTAATTTTATATTTTTAAAAACCCCATAACATTCACTTATGAAAATCCATAAGAATTCTTAATTTTGATGGATGTATTTCCTATCAGGTTCTACAAAAAGACCAGAAAACATCAGTGACTCCCAAGGTTCATCTATTGTCTCTAAAATCCATTTTGTACTGACAGGACCAAGGTTTGTAGAAACAGTTGAGTGTCGGAGCTCAAGAGGAGCTGAGGCAGCCTACGCTGGCAACAAAAAATCAGGGCCAAAGAAACTAACGTCTCAAGTGTGCTTCTGGCCTGCTCTCGACTGGTACTGAGCTGGGACTGACTGTAGGCATGTGCTGCGCACGGCAGAGTTCACTGTGACTCAGTGTAACAGGCTGTCCTCTGCAAATGTCCACATGCAACCTGAAGGGCGCCAGAGAACAAAGCAAGCTTTATTGGAGCATCTTTAGTAACAACAAAAACTAAAATAAATGAATTTACAATTATGCTCTTGAAAAAAAGAGAATTCTCCTTAAAGATGCAAAAAAATTTTAAAAAAATGAAATTTAGAGAATCATCCATTTTTTACCTTGGGAGAAACTGATGCACCAATCATGAAATAATCGGTTATAAGGGAAAACTACAAAGGTCCTGTCCTGCTGCTTCCGTCTGAACTACTGGCATCAGGAAACATCAGCCATGCAGGTGAGGGCTTTGTCAATGGATCCTAACAGTGGGCACAGAAGAAACGCCAGGGTGGGAACGATGAATCACCATTTTTATAATCACTAATGGAAGGATGGATTCAGGCAACAAATCCCGGTAAGGAAAATGTTTAGGTTAACGAAACCTGATCACAAGCGGGGACTCGGGTTTCCTTCCTGAAGCTACAGCGTCACTCAGAGTCTTAGAGCCCAACCCTTTGCAGCTCCCAGGAGCCGTGGCATGAGACATACACCATGGCAGAAGCAGAATCCAATCGAGATCTGACCGCCAAGCTGCAATAAATTTAGATTACAGAGTAAAAGGTAACAACAGTTAAAGTTGGTACCCGGAACATTCTATTGTTTAGTTTCTTCGACAAAAGAACAGCTTGAAAAAAGAAGGGAATATCCTAAATGAAAGTCAAGAGACTCGTTAACCAAATGAAATATGAGTTCTTGTTTTTTTTCCACATCTGTTAAAAATAAACCTTCGAGACAGGTCTCTCACTAAACTCAGCACTTACTGCTTGGCCAGACTAAGTAACCTCTCTAGCACTAGGATTATCGATGTAGACAGCCAGCTCGCACTGGGTGCTGGGGACCTCAGCTCAGGTCTTTCAGACTACACAACAAGCATTTCACAGCTGCACCATCTCCCTGAGCCTGGATCTCACCTGTTGAAGAGTCTGTCTGGTATAGTTAACTCACTGTTCAGTCAAGTGTGGAAACAAACCCGCAAGGACTTTATTTCCACGAATTGAAATTTGATAGGCAATGGGCTCATTAACATTTTACTGTGCATGTGGTCGAGATTCTACAAGACATACTGACTTAAGAAATTCTAGGAGGTAGAACCCTAATCCTAAGACATAAAAAAAATAATCAGAATGCATCCTTCTTTGTTTGAAAATGGACAAACAAGGTTTAAAATCTGTTTAAGAGACAGAATCAAGCCGGGTGGCGGTGGCGCATGCCTTTAATCCCAGCACTTGGGAGGCAGAAGTGGGCGGATCTCTGTGAGTTCGAGGTCAGCCTGGTTTATAAGAGCTAGTTCCAGGACAGGCTCCAAAGCTACAGAGAAACCCTGTCTCGGAGGGGGAAAAAAAAAAAGAGACAGAAACAAAAGAATCAAAATGAGTCATGGGGAATCTTCTGTAAATTGTTTGTTCCCGTAAATGTTTGTTTCTTTTCTTTTCCTTTTCTTTTCCTTTTCTTTTCCTTTTCTTTTCTTTTCTTTTCTTTTCTTTTCTTTTCTTTTCTTTTCTTTCTTCCTCCTCTCTGTCAAGACCACATTGCCTTGAGAGCTGGTCAGTCTTCCACATCTGAGTTTAGCTAATGTGGACAGAGAAGTACTATGCCCACAGTGACTTATGTCATGAAATGTTTCCATGGCAAAGACCCGCAGTTGGGTCCGATATGAAATTAACAGCAGTACTTCTGAAAAAATTTCAATTTAGAACAAGATATTGATCAAGGTCGGGGGAAAGTTATTGATTAAATACAACTCACTGTACACATCAAATTCTGATGGCAATACCTCTCAGTGCCAGCATGTTGCATATGCCAAGGGCACAGCAGATCGCTCAGTGAATCACCCTTGTGCACAGATGTGCCAGCTAGAAAATGGACTCTACAGATGCCATTCAAAGAGAAGCCAGGTCAATGAGTCGCTTTTGTATCCATGATCACTTGACAATTAAATCGAGTAATGGAACCCTTAGGTCACAAAATACCCAACCTTAAGATGACCATACCCGTGTCTGAATAGAGCAATTCAGTCTGCATCCTATGCCAGTCGGATCTCTCAAGATCAACGGGCCCATCTCATCTTGGAAAAAGCTTTCTTCTCTCTAGGCAGGCTTAGTAAGTCCCTAAGGTGACAACTCTCGAAGCTCCTGTGTCTGATATAAAATAATAAACGCTGAGATAACGGCTGCGAATAAAGACAATCGGTTGTGCTGAAGTCCACAGAGGTGAGTTCACAGAAGACGAATGCGGAGCTCTTCAATGCCACGGCTTTCAAGGAGGTGCCTGGCAGGACCAATCGATCTGTAGGATTCAGTGATTAAATATTGATGGAACGCTAAAGACTATCAGAAAGTAATCATTAGGATGGTAACGAGACCACCTTGCACATTCTCTCATAACGATTTTCTGACTTTTTGTGTGGAGTATTCTTATGTAGCCAACTGCTTTTTAAACGTTTTCAGATATGAAAACAATGGCCTAAAAATTGGCCTATTTCCTTTTAGTTTGCAAATCACGCTGTCCTAACTAATGTAGCCCTAAATAGAAAGCTTCTCATGTCATAAGATTCCACTAAATTATTACTGAACCTTGGCTCCCAAGCTCCCAAGAGAGATCTGTCCATGCAAAAACAGGAGGGTTATTGGAATTGGTGAACACTGTTCCCCAGATCACTCACGTCTACACTACCAACGCCTCTATCACCACCACTGGCTGTACCTAGAGCGAGAGTGACTAGCAGAGGTGCATCTTGCAAAACTTCCCCCGAGTACTAACACCACAGCCTTCCCCATGGGAGGGCAGAGGCCTGTGGATGACAAGGAAGGGTGTATCCCAATGCCGAAGGCCAAACACCCCAGGCCTACCATGTCAAATGGAATCTAAGACCTGGCGCTGAAAACGTGGTAGGTGCAGAAGGCAAAGATGGCAAGCAGACTATAAAGCGCGGCTGACTCTGGACTCATCACTGTAGTCCCATAGGCAACACCAGAACCACCAAGTGTCTGTTGATTACAAAAAAACAGATAATAATGTTTGTAAGCCTGCATGTTCATACCGTGCTGTCTGCATGCAGCCATATAAAGAAACCAAAGCTAACACCACAGCCATTTTTATGTTGAGGTCTGCAATCTGTCTCTCAAGGAGTGAAGGGTGCTCTTGCTTCCACATAATGTAGAGACCGTAGGCAGAAATATAAAAGTTAGGGAATATTTGTGAACATTTAGGTCCTTGCCTTTAAAAAGAGTCAAATGGAACATTTACTGAGATGACTAAACATAATGAGGATTGTGATGTGTTATTGAAGGTCAGACAAACAAGGAGGTATAAAGAAACACCTTCCTATTCCCTGGTGATGTGTCATCATCGTTTGGAGTCATTCGGCACTGCCTGTTCTGCCCTGCGTTTGCAGGAACTGTGCATTCTGCACCCTCACCTTTGCCTTGTGTCAAAGTCTTCTAGCTTGGCTACACCATTAGCTTCTCAGTGAACTGGCCTCAGACGCCTTCAGCTATTCTTGGGACACAGTCCGCCAGTCTGTTGGCACTGGTGGCGCCTTAATAGTCCTCTTTTGCTGTTTTCCCGGCAGGGAGCAGAACCTGGAAAAGAGGGATGACAATCATACAAGGCATTTCCAAAGAATACCAAGACACGTTCAGGAGGATGCCCCCCAATACCTCTTCGCATAACAAAGTTTGTACCAGGTACCTTAGCTTTTATCTCCTCCGTTCAGTCTTACACCACTGCAAAGACAAGAACACTGAACTCAGTGCTCAGTCACATTGCAGATTCCCAATTACGTTCTGCCCAGAGTCTCAAGGGAAAACCCTTTACGTGACACAGCAGGTATTCCCAGTGAGGACAAAGTGCATTGTCTAGAACCAAGCTTAGCTTTCCCATGAACTGTGGACGCCAGGCGGTGCTTTAGAGAAAACAAGCACAAAAAGAGAGCTCATCACATGGGAACAGAAATCTCCAGTCCCGTGGTTCCATTGGGACCCTGATGTCACCTCTAACTGGCCTTTCAATAACAGAGCTACTCCTGACTGGACCACCACAGAATCTAGTTTTCATGACAGATCACTCAGAAAGCGAAAAACACATAATAAGAAAATAAACATTTACTTTAAGAATAAAGGAAAAAGCCAGCCCTAAAGCAAAAGCTGCACGAATTACTCTCTTCCCTAAAACACGACGGCGCATTTCCTTCAAGCCATAGCTCTCTCTAGCAGGCTCATTTCTTTCACATGAGACAGCACTAAAAGTATTCATCAAGCCAGATGCTGTGATCCGCATCCATACTGCCAGTTCCTGGGAGGTTGAGATAAGAGGGTTTCTATTCTGAAGTCCACCTTGGCTTCTTAGTGAAACCCTGTCCTGGAAAAATAAGTAAGTAAATAAATATAAATAATTATTTCTCAGGTTTAATTATTTCAAAGTATGTATGCCATCTGCTCCCTAACATGACTTACTGAAAATGCAAAAGAGATCGGTCCACCCTGATTAGTGTGGACAGACTGTCTGCTCCATTTTAAAGGGGAGTTAAGGTCAGAGCTTATCCTGTAGTTCAGACCGGCCCAGAACTTCTGGAAATCCCCCTGCCTCAGCTTCCTAAGTGCTGGCATTACAGGGAGCCAGTATGACCAGTGTGATTGCTTTGTTAAGTTACATCTTTCTGCCAAAAAAGTGTTTCTTCCAAATTCCTCCCCACCTCTTAAATCAAAAATAAAACTACAGTGGATGCTACATTTTGTAGATTTAAGCAAGTGTAATCGCTCATGAGGATGGTGTGGACAGAGCAGTTAATACCCATCCAGGTTGTAAACCGGTGCTCAGGATGGCACCTTTCTCTTTCTGGCACGCGAGATCCCATTTATGCCCTTTAATCTCACATAATTAATTCTATGCAGATGGTGAAATCTAAATTTCCAGAGTAGAAACTCTACTAGCCTCTTCTGGCTTTCACCAGTGATGGATTCTGTCACAATTTTGGCGCCAATGATAGGAGGGAATGCAGTCAGAGTCCTGGGCTACGTGGAAGCCTTTTTATTCACGACCCCCATCTTCCTCCCTAGGCATTCTGCGCCATCGGAAAAGTGAGAAGGAAAAGAAGAACAGAGGATCATGGGACACAATCAGTTTCCCACCCTCACCTCTATCCCTGCTCTAAAACGCAGCAGAAGACAGGGCGATGCAGCGTGCCCCTTACGGCCCTCGTCTAAGAACCTCTGTACGTGTCCTCACAGCCCATGTGAAACAGACCTAGGTCCAGGGAACATTTTACCCCTTCCTCCCTTTCCTCCTCCTATTGTCTTAGCCAAAACATCCTTTAGATTCTCACTCCAGAGCACAGTCCGACATCTACTTTCTCAACTTCCTTTCCTGGGCTTTCGGTTTATTCGACTGCTGTGAGGGTGTTTGGGTTGCAGAGTTACCTCTGTCCATATCTGATCTCCACCGTCTGCAAGTACACACTCAGAAGCAGAGAGCAGATCGTAGAGAGCCTGCCCACGCCCCCAACACAGACAGCACAGGTCAGAGTTCAAAATGCAAAGTTGCTAGGTTTTAATCTGTGTATACCTTAGAAGGAATGAAATCTGTTATTGTCTATTTTGTTAAGAGCAGGCTTTTGTGCTGTTATGCAATGCCAAGATTAAGGAGGCCTGACTTGCCCTGAAACTGTTAGTAACGTTCACGTAGACCTTGCAGGGGACTGAGCACTCTGGGTTAAAAATTATTACACACTTCAGACATAAACAAACATGGCTGAGAGCCACAAGTTAATGAGTATTGTGGCTATAGATATTAATTGGTGAAGACAGACAGAGAATAGGTATACAGTAACATCTGCATTCTAAATTCCCAGGTGAATAATATTTTGCTTTGTTTCTTTTTCTTTTTGTTTTTTAAAAATAAGGTTGTTCACCAAGTGGCAGCTCAACTTTAATTAAGAACCTGCCCCGGGTCCCATTTACTTCACATAGAAACCGTGTGTAGGGTGGAAGTCCAAAGTGGAAGAGCCTACAAAGTTTGAGTCTGGTTGTTCCTTCTGAGAGCACACGCTGAAGATTAATTCTTAAAGCTGCAGGTAAGAAATGCGCCCAAGGCAGGGACAGGAATGGTTCCTCTCACGAGCAGAACTGAACCATGCTTAAAAACAATAAAGAACACAAACAAAACCCAGCCTCCTTGCTTTTTATCCACCAACGCTGACCAAAAGAATCATCTTCTAGGGCTAGAGAGATGGCTCAGTAGTTAAGAGCACTGGCTGCTCTTCCAGAGGACCAGAGTTCAATTCCCAGCATCCACATGTCAGTTCACAACTGTCTGTAACTCCAGTTCCAGAGGATCTGACAGCTTCACACCAATGCACATAGAATAAAGTTAAATAAATTATATATAAAAGAATCATCTTCTAATTTAACATGTTCTGGAGCAGAAAAGGGCTTCCGACACCTCCCTCCTGAGACCTTCATTAAGTGCAAGCTTTAAAGGTTGAAATGCTGACTCAAACAAAAGCTCCCACACCAATTGAAACTCAAGTAGGAGTCTCTGGAAGACCTCATTGAGGAGTTTGGTGAATTGGCAACGAGTCCTTGGACTGGCTCACTCAGGAAGGCAAGGATTGGCAGCATCCCTCCAAGCCCGGTGACTAATCCTCCCACAGCCTGCGTTCTGCCCACTAGACCTCGCGTTCTTGTCTGGTACATTCTCCACTCTTCTAGTTTCTCATTCAAGCCATCAGAGATGGAGGCGAACTCTACCAGACTACCATATGAAGCTACGAGGCAAATGTATATCATACAAGGAGACCTGAAAAAGCAGGATCCACCACTCTGCAAAAGAAACAAAGGGAAGTTTTATAAAAATGGTTATAACAATAAAGACTACCTACCAAAGTAGCCGTCAGGACAGGGTTTTACAAAATAATCTCCAAGACAAGTTGATTCCACAATTGACTTGTGACGCTGTCGCTAAACCTGCGGCCATGGTGTGAGCTCAGTGTTCGCCTTACTTCCACAAGGATGCGTTGGTCTCCATTTAACCCCCTCTCTTGCTTCCCCCTAGACACGCTACAAGACCTTATTTGGCTGTGTAGCATTGTCTGTCGTCACCACCAGCTGATAACTGGTGACAAGACCACCTTGCTGCTTTTTCCGCCACAGCAGTGTTCTGATAAGAAACCTCAATCCTACCTTTGGTAATTCAAAATACCCCATGGATTTCCACACTAGTACAAGAATCCAATAACTTTTATGGAAGTGAGTTGTGCTGGGGTAACTTCCCAGAGATGACAAACACAGATTCCTGTCAGTTACCTAACAAGTAGGCTTTGCTGCAATGTAGCTAATGTCATTAATGCAACTATGTATCACAGACGTTAAAAGTCACCAGCTGAGAAAACATGCCAGAGTTTTCTTATCTACCATGAAATGCTATTAACTGACCCGCCCAGGAGTAAGTCGGATGTGTAGTTATTTATATAAACAGCAAAACGCAGAATGGAGAGGACTTAGAACTTAAAAAGCAAGGTTTCTTTAGTTACACCATTGAGAACTTAGCTTCAGATAACAGGACAGGACAGGCGGATAATCTTTTCAGGCTACAAAGCAGAAAACATATTGTGATATCCATGGCAAGGAAATAAGAATTCTAGCTTGGAATTTGTGTGCCGTTCTGTGGGCTGAGAGAGAAGATGAGAGGAAGCTGGGGAGGGGAGAGAAGTACCTGTCGATTAATACCATTTGGCAGAAAGAGGCAGGCATGAATGAAGAACACTTCAAACCACGTGAACGGTGCCTGACAGTTGAGAGATGCTAATTGAAGCCCAATGGTTGGTTAAGGACTCAGGGCTTCCCTGAAGCTAAAGCAGGAGCGTGGGGAGGGGCCTCACAGGAGGTGAGACCACTACACCAGTTTCAAATGCATTTCGTTGTGCAAGCTGAGAAGGGCAGGGGTGAAACTCAGAACAGAGCGTCCCATGACCCAACAGCTAAATGAAGGAAGAGGCAATAGATAATCTCGGAAGGCCATGGTAGCAAACCAGACCGGAAATGGAAGCTACGGGGAATGGGACAGAGGACAAGAGAACTTAGTGTCTGACAGGGGAGACCCAGTCTGTCTCCTCACTAACGGCTCCCTCCTTACCTCCTTCCTTCCTTCCTCACTGCTTCATTTCTGTGGTGCTGGGAATCAAAGCCAGGGTTTGACTCAACCTGGCTCATTGAATCTGCTGATGCAGAACCCCAGGATAAGACAGATGGTTCCTGACATAAGCCATGCCAGCACACTTAATTAGCTCATCACAAAAGCACCTTTCCACAATCTTTTCTAGCTCCACAATCCAGCCAACACTTCAAATTTTGGTTTGCATCTAACTCAAAATTATGTTTCTCTATTAGAGAGAGAACAACTTTTTTCCCAGATTCTAAAGACCAAACAGAGAAATGACCTAGCCCTATTAAGCAGCAAACAACCTTTTTTTTCTCTAGCTAGTTCTGTTAATCTTGTCACAAATTCATATCAGATTTCTGGCTATAGATTACTTAAAGGCGTCTAAGCTGTTATGTTTTCGCATGCTGACTTCTATCTCAAATCC